GCTAACTGATCTGGCATGTGGTCATTCTCAGATAGCAGGTGCCTTATTTCAGCACAAGAAGAGGAAGCTGTCATGCTTGCAAAAAATACAATTATCTGAGCGTCGGCCATTCATGTACTTGGTGGATCTTTGGCTGCATGGGCTTCCCAAGAAGTTTGGTGCATGTCAGCACCAATATCAGGGGACAAAGAGTCCATGTTTCAAGGATTATGATATTGTATATCTAATTTCATAACATTTATTTTCATACTCCCTCATAGTTTCTACAGAACATGAATTCTAACTGCACAGCAATTTTTCCTGGCCTGAGTTGGGTCTAAAGAAGCACCATGTTCAGCCCGCAGAGTGAATATCCCTTAGCAGTCCAGCACAGTCAATGGAATTTTGTTGACAATCAATGAAAAATTATGCTTAATTTTTTACCAAATATCAAGAGAAATGTTTTCAGGGTAAGTTTGACTGAAATCACCCTTACAGCATCTTACTTTCTGGGGACATTGGCTCTCCATGCTCTGAATGGTTGACTGTTCATCTGACTCTGAGCTTCAGAGCAGTGTGCACCTTAGCAGTTTGACCACAAGGTATCACAAAATGCCACAGAATGACATGAGCTACCCGAAATGATCAATTTCTGCAATCACTCACTATATCTGAGCACTTAGATTATTTACAGTGAACCATGGCATGGTTTCAATATTAACATGTTTTTATCCATATTGTTGATGATGCTCCACAATACTCAGCTGCAGAAGACATGTGGCAAGCTGCCTCTCACCCCAACAGGTTGGCAAGTGCCACAGGGAACCAAGCCCCTCTGGCTTCCCAGATGTAAAGCTCAATCACAACAATGCCAGTGCCCATCTATCTGCATAGGTCATGTAGTTATGAACTTGGGTTAGAACTTGGTGACAAGATAAAGCTGCAATCCAGGGGAGGAGGTGAAGTCCCAGTCAGAGTATACATTGCTACCTCATGTTAAAAAAGAGCACTGTACATCAAGCACCATTTTTAAGGCAGAACATATTATAATTAATCATAAAACAGGTCATCTAATATAATACAGAGACGGCACTGGGGAGTCCAGCTGCATTCGAGAGCCTCGCTTAGTTACTAAAATCTGAAGATAGCATGAATCTACCCGTTTTAAGATTATTTATGATATGTTCCGCTTTGAACATGACAAATGATGTATCGATTTTTTGTTATGTTAGGTACCAATGTATATCTACACCAAAGTCCCCCAACAAATGCAATGGTAAAATCGTAGACATACTGATTGAGTGCGTTTGACTGACGCCAGTTAAAGCCGAATCTATGCCTGAAAATCTCTAATCCATCCAGTTATGAAGCTCAGACGGTTTGGCGTTACCGGCGCGCCTGAGAAGCGCACGCATCATCACCATCAATGCAATGGGAAAACAAAACCCATGCCAAAGACTACTGGAAAATTATGAGATACATGCTGACAACTTACGGATACATTTTGTCGGGCGATTTTACCGGCAACTGCCGAAAACCTGAGCACCCTGGAAGCCATCTTCGCCGCCGTCCGACAGTGAGAAATATGGTAGAGCAGCGTGCCGCTGGAGTAAAGTTGAGAAATTATATTTTAGCATCAATAGGTGATGGTTTTCACTTTTCACTATCAATTCTGGAAAACTTTAATTTGATTGTGCTTTTGGATGTAAGTTATTGAGCCACTAATGCTCTATTTTCATTAAAGGCAAAATTAGCATCTCTAGCACGACTTGGCAATGAGTCTACTAAATAAAGTAAATCTTTACATGCAATTAAAACGTCGAAACCAGAGACTGGGTTAACTCTAGATTTTACGGATAATTCCTCAGTTAAGTTAAGGTGAATATTGATATGATCAAGCAATATAAAGGCTTTCAATCATGTTTAAAAGCGTCTGATGCCAAATAAAGCCTTAAAAAAATAAGGAAAATGAAGGTCTGGAAAGCGTTTTGATATGGTATGGTGGGAAGGCCGAAATTCCATGGAATTAAAAAGGACAATTGCATGCCAGCTCAACTCGCCGAGTATATACCAGCCTCTCTTCTCTTGACTGGACATAGTCTTTCCCGTGTATTGATGACATTCTATACCTTTTGGACCCCTGCGCTAAACCATGCTCCTTGATTTTTTGGATCTTGGATCAACCTTGATTTTTGGAATCGTCGTGTAATTATACGTCACAAACCATCAAAAGAATAGTGGGGGCTTCATATGTTCCCGTCCAGTGCGCATGCTTTCATAGTTGGACGGACCGGAGTAGTGTGGTGCACCCGGCCGGTTGGTTCGCGCGATCCCCCTTCCCCCTCCCCCTCCCCCCCCCCCCCCCCCCTCCTGCCGGTCACCCAGCCCGGCCCACGCCGATGCTGCTGGCACCCTCTCGAGATGGTCCAGAGAAACGACTCGAGATGCATGAAATCATTTTAAACATGGCAGTGTCGCGGTCATCAGCTTTCTCCCGGCACCCCACGCCATCCATCGTCTCAGCTGTAACTCAGTAAGGGGTGTGAGCCTTGTCATTGCGTTGATCCGTTGAATCTGAAACATAAAGCGACGAATAAAAAGCTGCGGTCTGTCACTAAGGGCTTCATTGCAGGCCATCGTTCGCTTCTGGGTCTCGTATCAGTCGTTACAAGTCGTGCACAGAATGCTGAAAACAGGTCCGGAAGAAGGACTTTTAGGCCATGAATCTGCCACAGCCGGACTGGTCGACCGAACTGGACACAACTCGGTCAGGTCCATGTTGTCTGCTCCGATGGCTGGGCACGCCAGATATACAGGATCTGTCACAGAATCACGATCAGGGTCTGTTACAGTCAGGGCGCCCGCTCCGCCCGGGCTTTTCAGGAGTCAAGAGCCTCCGCAGCTGTCAGTTGAAAAGCTGGATCTTTGTCATGGCCGAGACAGCTGCCAAAGTCACTCCAAGACTCTGGGAGCAGTCAGATCACCAATGATGAATTGGATGACCTTATGACTGGCAGCGATGCTGACATCCAGATGCTCGTTGACAGTCACTGACTGCCTTTGGATTAACGCCAGTCAGCGCAGGCTAGCTGGCAGTTGGTTTGCATCAGCCTGCCATTACCGACTCTGGCCACGAAGAACTGCATCCCTATAGCCCAAATTTGCTGAGATTTGACTATGCCATTAAGTGTCTTTTTTCATAACCATCGCTCTTAAAAATCTGGTGGGTCTGTATAATAAGTGGGTCTAAATAATAAGAAGGCCATCGATTTCGCCTCACCATAAAGTTTACCATGATCATAAATGCTGCCGATGGAATCTAATATATGAACAAGTAAAACAGACATCACATCATTGCTAACAAACACAGGCATGGTTACCACGCGCTCGGGTGGGTGAGTCAAATTGCCCCCCCCCCCCTCCCTGAGGGCTTTTCCAGAATGGTTTCCGAAAGGCGCGGCGTAGCCGCACCAAATTTTGCACAGCTGTAGACAATTGATAACGGATTGTTAAGCACCAAAAATTCAGATATACCTGGTAAAGTCGCTGACCTGTGACGGATCAAAGTCAGGCCATGTTTTTAACGAAGTCAGTTGGTAGGGAATCGTTCAATCTGATGAACAACGGGGTGTTAGACGAAGCCATATATTTCTCAGATGCTTTTTTAGGTAACACCAATATTGAATGAGCAAATCATGTTGACCTAAGGTCAGGTACAAAGATTAGGCCAAGGTCGAAACGAACCTGTTTTTTGTTCTAGGGCTTGCAGCATACAATAGTTTCTGGTGCTCATTTCGAATTTATTGATAGCAGGAACCGCATTATACATCTTCCATGGACTTTTTAGAGGTAAGAATAGGTCATTGACCCAAAATGACCCAGGCGAACATTTTGTTTTTAGAAACACACTGCTTAGCGTAATCTTTGTCGCTTATCCAAATCCAAAACTCAGAGTGGTCTTGTATGATTTTGGTCACCATGACCTTTAAAAGGCTAAACAATGTCACTGACCTCAAATGAGTATGCTCATTTTTCCTTAGAAACGGTTATCTAGGTTCTGGGGGCACTTCGTAGATCAGCCTGGAAGTTACCTAATTTGACCTCATTTAACCCGGAGGTCATGACCTAGGAGCCTCAAGCTTTGACCTAAGTGAGTTCACGTACAGGTCAACACACCCTGTGAATTTGGCGTCTTAAGCTCTCTTAGTCCCCGAGATCTCAGGGGGTCAGATTGACCCCCCTCCTCCCCCCTCACCCGAGCGAATAGTATCTATCCGGGCACCCGGGCGCGTGTTAAAAGAATGTCTTCCTGGGGAAAAATTGTGTTCTGTAGGTAATATCAGACGGGGTCATCTAACATAAAAGGAGTTAGAAGGGATGGAGTTGGCGAATGCAAAATTAGGGGAACGACCTTCAGTGTCATACAGCATTGAACTCGAGGCAGACGACACAGAAACACGCTAAAACACTACATTGTTTCGGTTTTTAGTCTGAAGTCGCAAGGTAAGCTGATTAGTGTAGAACAAAACCTGAAGTCGATATTTATTTGCGAACAGTTGGGTTCTGGGAGACACCGTCGTTTTATTTTTGCCCTGGTCTTGTACAGTAGTGCAAGTACAGGTAGCGATGGGCATGTAGAATTTGGAAGTGGGAATGAGCTGGGTGGAAGCGAAACTCCAAAAGTTTTACGGAAAGCGAGTTTACCGCGCTGCAGGCAAGCGCGATTTCTTGCGCATCGTGCCGGATCACATTAAAGCTCCCTGTGGCTACAATGTACATACATCCCTGCGCAAGCATAATCAAACCTGGAATGCCTTCATTTGGGGTTACGTAACAAAATAAGGGGTTTGGCAGATTCTGGGAAGTACTCAAGTAATAGCCCTCGGAAAGCTCGTGCTCCATTTCCTTATCGAGTAGTTTACATACATTAATACGTGCATGAGAAAATGTCGAACAATCATGATTAGGGGTGGACACGGACAACTGAACAGGTGCGGAGCATGAAATGTATTATGCAATGAAAGACTTATCTGTGTTTTTAGTGTTGTTTATTTGTTTAGTTGTTTAGTTAAGTTAGGTAGTTTTGTAGTTAAGTTTGGTAGTTCAGGAATCTAGTTCAGTAGTTAAGTAGTTTGTTATCATGATTGTTTAGTACCCCCTCTCCTTGTGCCTTTGTACAGGTTCCATCATAGAAGATTCCACGTGAGGAAGAACGGGTCACTATAAATGATTTGATATAATCGAGCAAACTGGAAGCTTTTTGCAGCGACGAAATGGGTCAGTAAAGACCAGTTCTCTCTGTTGTGTAGGGAGGCGGGGTGAAATGAAACGGCAGTAAGAACAATAATGATGCGGCCCCCATGAGCGTTAAGCTGAGTAAATTGTTTGGAGGGCGACAACCTGTCCGCCACAAATATGTGTTTCTCAACGGATTAGGTGAGTTTTTTGGCCAACGGCAACTTATCTTTTTCAAGTGGTATTATTTACCAAATACTTCTTTATTTCAGCAGTATAGAAGTCATGGCCGTGAAGTCATGCCTAAGAGGGCCTGCTTTGAATGCTGTTTAACCTTTCCAGGAAAAGCATTGGGAAGACCTAAATTCGTATTGCCCTACAAAAAGTGTCACTTATACCAATGGTTAGTCCATCCCCTACATATTTGTGTAAATGGCCTGTACTTCTACGGAAGGCTGAGAAAACGAAAGTGTTGAGACACGTATAACGAAGAATACGTAAATATTCATACCAATCGTGTTAATGTGTAACGAGTAATACGTCAATATTCATAGCAATTGTGTTAAAGCATTCAAAAGCTTTAAAAAAAATGGCGGAATGGGACATAAGGTGCAGCCAGTCTGTCCCATGATGTCAATACCAGAAAATATGTCTCGATAAGGAAAGCAGCTGCGGTTGATTCTCTCCTTCAATAAGCGCCGAAATGATCTTTCAGAACCCGGGGTTGCTCTAGATGGATGATCCCATGCGAACCATGTCTCTTATTCTTACCCTTAAACAGATTCAGTGTGCAATCATTACGTAATAAAGTAGTCCCTGTGAAGACAATATCGCCTCGGAATTCGACATTTGACATTTTCTATGGCAGTCTTTTCCATTTAAAAAGTATACCAATAGTTGTGAATGAGCTTGTTTCATCACGTCTTATCATATTTAGTGTGCAGTTACATCCATGATTCACTTCAATGTCTTACTGGTCATGATGCTATATGGCCCGTAGGATAGCATGGTATATGGCATATAGTGTCTATGCGGCACTGACTTGGCACTGTGTCGCCTGGACCCAGAGCTGAACTGCGACCGTGACTGTGATAGCGCCTGTGGCCGTGCTCGTTACGATAAGCGTGACCCTGGCGATCCCAGGCGAGGAGGTGAGACACGTGATGCCTTTGATTCTTTCCCTCCCTTTCCAGTCAATCTGCGCGCAAATCCGTGGACGCCTCCGACCACGCCGTCCACCCCCGCGCTACCGAAGACTGCTTCTGCGGCATCAGCCTATACAAACAGCACCCCACCAGTGGGCCGAGAATGGGCCGGCCAGTGACCTGACAGGGTCGCACCCGGTCAACGTCGTGGGCCAATGTCTCCACATCAGTTTACGTACGGCGGAGTCGCCTAAACATATGTCGGGGGAGTCGGCTTAACAACGAAATGTTACCCGATCTACCCGCAAAAACATGCCAGAAAACAGATTTCTACCCATATTGGCCCACATTCTTCCCAAATTTAGGAAGGAAACCTGAGGCTCCCGCAGAAAAGGAAACTACACCCCTGTTCAACAGCCACGTGGTCTGATTATTAGAGTGTTGTAATAAGGTTATGAGTGGTGGTAAGATGTTGAAGAGGGGTACATAATCAAATGCGGACCTTGTCTCACAATCAGCAGTTCGACACGGGATCCACGGCTGAAAAGCTTCTGATTTACCGGATACGATCGGTCACAAAACTGACACTTTTGCGAACCAATTGATGACAAAATTGCGAAAACGCAAACAAATTTCGGTACACCAGACCATATGACAACTTACTATCCCAGTGAAACGAACCTAAAATCTTAGTATTGGTCTGTGCCCCTAAACACTTACAGCGTGAGCATGTATAGAACGCATGTCGAAACGTTGACGTTTCGCTATATGAGTAAACTGAGCCACAACATGCTGTCAAACATAAAAGCCTTAATCAGGATCGTTTTTAGCAGGTGCCAGGAATGTACTACAAAATAGACTACATCAGTGCTGGCGTCACAAATCAGTGGCGACACGGTGCTTTTCCCATGACCCGCAGACCAGTGTTTTTCACAAGCTTTTCAGCCAGGATTCACCTCACATACTCAACAGTATAGAACACCAAATAACTAGGCTCATTACTCGTTGCAAGGATCGTAGTTGGACACAGCATCTTGCGACGAACGGGATCAGTTTGCCACGCAGCGTTTTAAAGCGTCGTGCCATTTGGGACAGATGGAGTCGAACGCTCGCCACGCGGTGATGCGTTGAATATTTATATTAATTGGGAGACTAATTATAATCCGTTGGATATTAATAATAATTATGCGAGGATAGCGAAGGTCGTCTGCACGCCCAGCTGATTGTACGATGACGTCACAAAACTAAATGTGATATTGTTTTCGAGTGCTTGCAGAACCATATTATTGGTAAATATAAGGCTACAGGGATGCAGTTTTGCGAAATACGCAGGGTTAATGAATGGAGGGGGGGGGGGGGGGGAGGGCACGACAAATTATTGCGTCTGCTTCCAAAATGCACTCAAAACAGTTTTTCGACAGATTTGACGCACTTTCTTGTAAAAGTTCGGAGCAGCGGTGTAGTTTCTCGAGATTATTTTAGGGAGCCTAACCCTGAAAATTGTGGTTAATGAACAATAATGATTAAAATGATGCATACAAAATGTGAAACTACATCCATGGTTAGGAGGCACAGTCCTCTCCCCCTATCTGAATAGAAAACTACATCCCTCCGAGATGGTTATGTATGTGTGCCTTTATCTGAGAGTTTTATTAGTTAAGTCCCAACCATCATTTAGTGCCTGCTGGCCAACAAATGATACCCGAGTACAAATGAACTCCCGAAACAGAATCGTTTGATGGTTAAGCCGCATTGCATTAAATTTGTCTTTGTTTTGTGGTTTATTGCATGTAGTGTGATATTACAACGGTTTTTGAAGATTCAGCTCCAGGCGACAATTTAGACGATTCCAAGTTTCGCCGGTGACAGAAAAGACGCTTTTTTGCCCCTGACGGAATTCACTCCGCGTTTTACACCCAACAGCATTGAGTTTTTTAATGCAACAATATTAGGTGACGTACCGATGTCGTAGATTTCCAAAACTCGGACAATGATGGAAAACTTTAGCGCAGTGCTTTTAGCCGTCAGCGGTTGTCATGACAACGGAAACGAGACAAAAAACAACTCCGTGTCTCTTTTTGACGAAGCGCCCTGTCGTTGGCTGCGGCATTCGGCTGTTGCCGGCCAGATGATGTTTTATCGATATCGCCATCGTGACGCTTGCAGCGCCCTCAGTGGAGGGGTCCTGTGCGCCCTGTTTAGCTGGTAAAATCAAAGTCCCCGACCAGACACAGCCCAGAACGTGAGGTGCGATCAGTCATGAATAATTTGTACGTTGGTGAGGATCCAGTCGTTATCAGCCACGCTTTGCTATCTGCCGTTGTGTTGGAACAAAGCCCAAAGGGCGAAGCTGAAACAATTGTTGAACGCGAGCCTGTTCGATTCAACGACGTCAAGGAACTTTCACTCAGCTACAAAAGTAAGTGACTGTGGTAATTCTCTTACAGCACTTCCCATCGCTGAATGTGCTGGACCACACCCGTCCCAAGCAGTTGTATGTCGCGGAGACCTATATAATGCATACGGACCATGTGATTTCTTTGCTGCCAACACTACATATTTTAGGAAATTTCACTTGTATCCCGCGTAATCATTATGCTTGTGTCGAAATGACTTGTCGATAGCATTCACTTGAGAGTGGATGAACCGCTGCATTATGCTATTTCTACGAGTGGAGAATGTTGAGAAACGTTGGCGTGACAGCTGGAACGAACATGTAATGGGGCTATGAGACGTTCGTAAACAGCTCAACACTTGACAGCGTTTGCACTTAACACCGACCACGCTACTTCTGTTGTCATGATGAACCACAGTTCTCATATGGAAGCTGTCACTGCTTCTGCCCTATCCATCACAAATATCTGTTCTAGCGCAGGATGATTATGTCTGTTTACCACTGGGCTCAAAACGTGACCAGCAAACTTTTTAAATTTTTGCTCAATGTAACATAAATGGTGAAACGTTATCGGCACATTTCCGTGTTTCAGCAAAGTTACGTGTTTCTCAGGGATCCTTCGAATCGATAACATGTGGGAGTTCACGGCTTTGACTAAGCTGCAACTCGACAACAACATTATTGAAAGCATACAAAATCTCTTCTACATGCCCAACCTCAAATGGCTTGACCTGTCCTTCAACAGGATTGAGAAAATAGAAAACCTGGATCAGCTAGTCAAGTAAGTCTTTTTCGACTAACATACCCAACCCTAATGCGGGTCAAAAGAACTCAGTAAACGAGTCCTGCCGCACCATGTGGGTATTGCAGCATCCGTTATATCAGGGGCATAGTTTTGCAAATATGTTAGCGAGCTGAGTAGGGCAGAAACTAAAACTACCATCTAAATACACCAACAACGGGCTTTTCCCCGAATTTGTCTCATCTCCTTTCAAAGTCGGGGACTGCAGCAGTCAAACTGAATAGGAAATAACGCTCGTATTGAAATGGCATAGTTTTAGATACACGTTCAGGGCAGGTAAAGCGGACAGCAAATGCAAAAGTTTGGCAGTGCTGGTTATCAGCCAACTATCCTTCCTATCCAAAAACCTGTGCTGGTTTTACTTCTGAAGAAACTGCGATCGATTTCGTGCGATCAACGACGGAAATACATTCGGGTATGAGTGAATTATTATATTTTACTGCGTTACGCCTAAGCCAGATGTAAACACAGATTTAGTCCTTTGCAGGTGCTGTTAAAATGAGTGTTCTACATTTGTATGCTGGTTTTGAACTAAGCTAGCCACCTTGAAGATCATTGGTACAGTTCTCAGCCCAGCCATTCTTAAGACATAAAACCATTTATTTTCTGGGCTAAACGTCCGCGAAAATTTGCAGACTGCTTCGTGCAAACTATTTCAAGCATACCCAGGCGTCCATGACACCATAATTGAGTCATTTATGTTCTGTCCTCTACTGGCCATGCAGCGTTCGAGGAAAAATGAATCCCGAGTCGCTCATACTTGGTGTCTGTATGGACGACATCAAGACAGAATGGCCGTCGATTGGCCCTCAATTAATGTGGTGCAGGGTACATAACGTAATCAAAAAATTACGCATCGAGAAGCATATTTACTAAACAGAGATATTGTGTTTTTAGAGAAGTCTCTTCCACCTAAAAATGTACCAATAGTAGTAAGTGAGCTCGTCTCATCATATCTGATACTTCCTTCAATATCTTCAAATTTAAAGCATTTTCTTTAAATCTGAATGCTTTGAAAGGACCTTGTTACGCTGACTCCCTATTGAAATGTGTTTGTTTCTTGATATAGCCCAGACGGGCCCATGCAACAATCGCCTCCATCCCTTTGACTTGTGTCGAGAGTCTTTTTTGTCCCTTGTCTTTTTAGCTTTGCTTTATTTTGTTTAGTTTTCGAGATACTGGGGGTGGAGGCCCTGAAATCTCTCCAGCGTGTGGGCAAAGGTGAAAAACATCCCCGTAAGGCAAGGGTTAGCCAAAGCCACAAAACAAGTGTCTTGAGCCCAGGTCGCCTAGTTGTTTAGCACGTTTGGTCGGGCAATTGAGCGTATGTAAGTCAATGACGTCTCATTGGTTTGTGCCCAGCTAATCCAGCACAAATCTGTCCTTTTCAGTCTGGAGGATTTGAGTTTGTTCAGCAACAATATTTCTGTGCTGGAAAATATGGACAAACAACAAAAGCTGCAGGTTCTCTCCATCGGAAACAACTGCATCGAGAAGCTGGACAATGTCAGTTGCCGAACCATAAGCTATAGCATGCCTCACTGATCTCGTCCGTTGTGTGGGGCCAGCGGCAGCGAATGGCAATAACACAATGCATTGCGCACAAAAGGGACGGAATTTGCAAGACACATGTGTGACTAGCACTTCGTTTTTTCATGTCAATAGTATATTGGCACAATTGGCATAGCACTCGGTTTAACAGGCACCGACAATTTTATCTTTGAGGCTTGACACCGCCAACCGTGAATAGGAGCGTGAAGGGATAGCAAAACATGTGTCAACATACATGGTGAACCTTACTTAACCCTTCTCACACATGCCATGACCTCGACTGCTGTACTGTATTTGGAGTTACTTGCTTCAGGTGCTGTATCTGCGCGCCCTGGAGTCGCTAGGATCGCTTGGCTTGGCGGGAAACCCGTGTGCTGAAGATCCCGAGTACAAGACGTACGTTGGCGCGTTCCTGCGCAATTTGACCTACCTGGACTATCGTCTTGTGCGGGAAGAGTGGAGAGCAGAGGGCCTGAAAAAACACAGGTATTTCGCTTCTTCATAGTAGTTCTCAGTGTTGCTTCTTTATTAAAGATACTTGCCAATACAGGGTTTTAGCTGCATATGTAGAATTTCATGATGCTATGCTGATTCACCTCATCTCTCTTTTTGCCTAGTTCCTTTTTATGCTCTAGCAAGCTGAATTATTAGCCTGAGCATGGACTAGATGTGGTACGGCAGGCCACAGCCTTGATACCGGAGGCAAAATACCATAGTAACAAAATTTGAGTCGTTCAAAATGTTTTCGAGTTGAAAACGGTTTTTAGGATGAAAGGTTACTCCTACTTGTGCGAACAATAAAGCGAGGAAATTCCTTGGCCCATTTCCAAGACCCATTTCTTGCACCGTACCATAGCCTTATTTGGTGAACGCTGCGAATCCAAGCCTGTAGCGTTCATTATGTGCATGAAGTGCTTGCATTGGGTGGCACTTGTATAAAATGCTTGTTTTGAAATGTCTTAGGTGACTATGATATTTCAGTGCTCGCAACCCAGGTTGTCATTGTGACAACATTATTGTGACAACTGCAATGACCGGCATGTTTTCATCGCATCTAATCGCAGCTCTGGTGTTGATGTCTCGCTCACAAGGTGTCTTCATCTTTTGTTAAGTTACATCATAGAAGAAATGGAGCTGTTGGAGCACCGTGACGAATTTGAAAAGGAGAAGAAAGAAAAGCAAAGCGAACAAGAGGAGCGTTTTAGAGAGGCCTTCGTGGAAGGTAAGCATCATGATTGCTTTCAACTTCCATTAAGCCATCGGCAGTGGAGAGTGGGTATCACAGTCCCGTGTCAAAGGTCCAGCAGATCAAAACGTGCAGGGGCAAAGCTTATAACTCACACCAGTTAATAGCATTATGGCTTAACTGGTACGCTGTCGCTGCGCGAGCAAAACGATGCTTTGCCAATTGTGTTGCCCGTCTCCCACCGGCCTCCGTTCTCGGCCTTGCGAGATGTAGTAGCCCGTTCTGCCGAGTGGGTCGCCCACGTGCGTCGCGGTTTAACAAAAACAGGTCCCTCAGCACACCAGGCCCACTATGCAGCATCACCGTATGAGTCAGAGTAGTCACTTGAAGTTCTGCCATTCGTCAAAATGTTTCGCGCATGTCAGGCACACCGTCAAATCTATGTCGGCCAAAAATGGCTGACAGCAAGGTGTAAAATCTTGTGTTTTGGAATGCATCGAAGTATTTCTGTGTGCCGTTGTCATTACCAGTGAGGTAGTATCTGACGCGCCTGAGCACCATCGCCATCACTAGAGTTTTGATGGCAGTGGAAGAGTTTTGATGGCATTTGGAAGGCAGTGTCGCGCTTGGGACAGACCTGTCAGCACGCCCGTGGACCAGCGGCTTTGATTGAACACGTGTGAATCCCAGGACAGGGTGCGGTCAAATACGAAACCTAGGCTCCCCACCCACTCATATGGTCGCAGCGTAGCGCCACGAAAATTTACAATGAAGCCGGAACGGAGCGGAAATTTGGACGACTGTCGAAAGTGATAGGCTGTGTTTTCGTTGCGTTCGCTGCAATGGCATGCGAGCGAAACCAGCAGCTAAGTGCCGTAAGCGACGCTTCTGTGTGGGAGATCTTAGGTAATGTCGAGTGAAATGGGATCAAAATACTTGCCTAGTCATGGATCAACGGCACTAACCACTGTGGTGAATAAGCACAGGCTTGTTTGGCGGGCGTAGGACGATTGCTAGGTGTAATCGTCGACACAATACTTCAGATATGGGTTAAACCTCAGATGTTAATGCCATGCTCATGTCGGTGAATCCATACGAATGCGGAATCATAGACTCCCTTTTCATTCACACACACACAGCAATTATCTCCCATTAACCGACATATTTACTCTAACACTGTACACCGCAGCTTTCCTGTGCACTACATTGGCAGGTTTGAGTGGTGGCCAGTTGTTCGACCAGCTGTTTGAGGACGACAAGGACGGCGAGCATCTCTCCAATCTACAGGGCGCGGACGAGATAAGAGAAACGTATCCTTACCTGAAATATCGGCTGCGCATTCGTGACTACGCCAACGTGTGCTTACTCGCAAAGTACTGAGGCTTGGCGCAGCTGTATTTCAGCCTGCGCGTCTCCGTGCTGTAAAATAGGAAAATAATGCTAGCAACTAGGGAGCGAGATAAAGAGTGACATGAAACAAGAGGAGAGAGGGAGAGGTAGATAGGATGGAAAAGAGTGCGCCTAGTATTATGTAATTCCTTTCACTCATGCTGGCATACAGACTTCGTGGACAGGTTGTTCCTGTGTGTAAGCAGATATTCGATGTCGGCATAGAGAAGGAGAAGCAGCGGGCGGAGGAGATCAGTCAGTTGGTTAAGTGTCTTTACGAGGCCCGACGAGCGGACCAAGACAAAGCGGTCAGGTCAGTCACTGTCAGACCAAGACAAAGCGGTCAGGTCAGGCAACAGGCCATCGGCAGTCGGATTTGCCAACCAATGCATTCGCACTCTGTTCCTACACCTTTGCACTGCTCTTTAGTGCTTGCGGTGTTTTGCATTACCCGCGATGCATAGAAAGGAGGTCATTACTCGCTTACAAGACATGCTACCCCGGTATGGAAACGAGTATTTACGTTTCGGTACAGGAACATGATGCGTGTAAGGTTTTTCCGACAGGAGCTAGAAGATTAAACGATAATTTAAAACACATTTCAGCATAAGCATATATTGGAAAATATCCATATCTCTATCATCTTCATATCCATCATCCATGGATATTGATAAATATGGCACAAATTCGATGCAGGACCACAGATCCCGATGTCATTCCTTCCCCCCCCCCCCTCCCCAAAAAAAGATGCTGTCCAGGAAGCCACTTTACCAGGCGAACCCTTTCGTCCAAGAGGTTCCATGAAAAATCTGCCCCTCAATTCAAAATCCGCATCACCACCCGTGCCACGAGGCTTTTTTCGGCGATGTTATTGAGCAAACGATGGTTATGTCGACAGTAATCGACGGCTCAAGCCATGCCTAAGATCGCGAACGTGACCATAACCACGAGTTGATCATATTCTCAGCTAGATGATCACTCATGGTAATAAGCGAGGCTTGAAACGCCATTCACTGTCCATGTAAAACATATTTGTTCCATGGCATTGTTTAAAGGATGTGTTTGACATTTATACAGGGTTTTGAACTGTAATAGCCATCTCGGAGACATTTCGGTGCTGTTCGTAATCCTAGCCCCCTTAAGACCTAAGCCTCTCTAGTTTCTGAACTTTACGCCCGCGAAAATAGGAAAAGGTATATCGGGAAGAGTGTTTCAAAGTCACCTTGGCATTCATGGCGTCATAATAACGTCATTCACATCCTGCCATTTCATGAGCCATGCGATGATTAAGGCCAGCAAAAACATGTAACTGTCGAGGCGTTCATATCTGGCGTTCGTGAGCGTGATTTTCAGATATAATGGCGTTAATTAGTTATCAATCAATGCTGTGCAGGGTACGATGACGTGATCAAGCCATGACGCTTTGAGCGGCATAGTTAATGAACGAACAATTTTGTTATCTAAAGCGGTCTTTTCCAGTTAAAAAGTATACCAATAGTTATAAGTGGGCTTGTTTCATCATATGTAATGCTTGCCTCAACATCTTCAAATGTGAAACACTTCGTTTAACCAATGCCTCCTGGTATAATGAAGGTTAAAAAACCCGCCATAAGGCTTCTGAATACATAATCATAGGTGTGTAGGGAGTGCACACATCACCATTTGTTTCAGACTTATGGACGAGTTTCTAGCGGAGAAGGATGCATTACTGGGCGACATTGCCAACGCCATAGATTTTGCGGAAGAGACTGGCATCAACGACGAGACGGAGGAGTCCATTGACAAGGCGATCCAGATATACAGCGAGCACTGCCAGAAGCTCTGGAGCCAGCTGATGGGCAGCGAGGTGGTGCTCAACGACGGGCTGGAGGTGGGCGTCTGCGCACTGAGTTCCGTTTGAGCGCGGCGGGGACTGGCGGCCGCTGCCTCCTCTAGAGTACAGTCTCTTTTAAGCAGCTAGCACTGTTGCTCGCATTGAAATCTGATACATGATTTCGAAGGCGGTTGCTACATACGGTTTAACGTACCATGCATCAGTTAAACGGGAACAGTGCAGACTCAAACTCCTGACACAGTTTCCTGAATAAGAGACCGGTGATGCACGGGTGAAAGACATACCAGCGTGCTTCTTTTTTACCGCCTGCCGAGATAAATTCGTCACATTTACCAACACCCTGACAGTGAAAGCCAGAATTCAAAGACGACTCAAAATGATTAGACTCGAGAACATGATAAATGTGAGCAGTAATCAATAATCGAATCACCCGTTAGGTAGCAAATGTCATTCGCATTCTTCGACACCTGCGCGCTGGTTTGCTATCTAGGATATCTGGGAAAGTGTAGCAATTGTCATCGTGACCCCCGACAGCAGCCTCGGCCAGCACACTCTGCCTTGATTTTCATACCACCCGAACCCGATCGAGTCTGTTTCTCCACAGGAGGTGATTCAGGAGTTCGGCAGGAACTTGACGGACATGGTGTCCAGCATGCTGGAGGCGACACAGGTACTGTTCGCGCAGCTGCGTGACCTCGAGGCCGGTTTCACGGAGCAGATCACAGAGCTGGCGCTGCACGTGCTCGAAAAGGTCATCAGAAACGACGAGGACGTCGAGCTGCCGCTGGAGACAGCTGAGGTGCGCAGGTGGCTGCGGGAAGCGTGGCCACGCCACGGACGCAATGCAATTGGAATGGAATGTCATCAGCTGTCGCCTCTAGATTGGCTTGCCCAGCGGGCATCTCATCGTCACGTGCGCTTTGAATTGCATGACAAGATTGTACCGCGTAGCCGGCTACGCAGAATTTAATTCATGCTGCGCGTCAAGAGGCCCAGTTTCATCAAGTTAAAGGTTATCCCCTTAGAACTGTCATCCATCCATCTACCAGCTGGCCTTGACATCTGTGGGATTAAGCCTCAACCACGATGGCGTAGAGAGACCAGCAGCATGGCTCCGCAGAATTCTGCCAGACCAGCTGTTTACTGTAAAGATGCAGTAAAAGCTGCAAAAAGTCGTGGAGCTCTTAGTTAAGAATGTTTGGAAAAACTCATTGTCAAGGGTGTCAGGAAATGGCACCAGTCATTCTTCGAAGGGAATTTGAAATCGATGTAACCGGCATCTGGTACCTCTCCCATATTCTTAGTGATAATGAGCTGAGACAGTTATGCACCACTGCTAACTGCGCTCTGATAATACTTTAAAATCCTACATGATATCTTCAGTACCCATGTAAATGCAATTTTCCGTTGGTGTCTTTAGTTTTCAGTTGTGCTCGTCGTCTCAACACAGTTCGTCATTCGCAGCTGTTCACGGACAAGGAGGTGGTGATGTCACTGGTGGCCGGCTCTCACGACGCGCACATGCAGGCGATCGACGGCAGGGAGGACACCATGACCTCTCGGCTCAAGACCTGGCTACAGTCAACCATCGCCAACATGCTCAAGTAGGCTGGGTCCGGTCCTACATATATAAGCCGTGTGCTGGTGTTGAACATCGTCAAAGGCAGTTTTTAATATATTTAAGCTTGTGAATAACTCATGGTGACATAATCAACGGCGATAACGTAGTGTTTGCGGCATAAAAGTCATCGTTCAGTCTTAAGGTTTGTTCAAATACGTTATTCTCGCAATTAACGAACAACGGCCATTGTTCGCCATCCAGCCGCTAACAATGCTGTCAACACTGCTGTCAGTGAGGACAACAGATATACCTGACCCAAGTGTGTAGTGAGAAACCCCTCCCCGAATCTCGATGCCTTTAACGCCACTGAGCCCAGTAATTTCGAGTTTAATATTCTGATAGCTGACTCTAACTTTTTGTTTCCACCTTCATGTGCACCTATACGTGATGTTTGTACTTGCGGTGCTGCTGGCTTGCTGTCACTCGCGTAGTGCTATCTCGAAGCGGGATGGCATGAAACGAAGGCTGCCGTCCACCCGTAGGGAGGAAGAGGAACGTAACAGATCGAGGGTCATCGAGATCAACCATTTCTTGGACAAGCAACGTGACGAGCTAGATGACTTCGATGTGCCACGCGTCCAGGTACTCGAAGACGACATCTAGCTGTAGCCGATGCTGTGTGTCCAGCCGTGCATGCTCAGCGAGACCGTACGTGTGATTTCGGCAACAAAATGGTGAATTACTGACCAGGAAATACATGGAGCAAATAGTGAGGCATGCAAACGTTTGCGCCAGTGAGGTGTCCCGCGCGATATGAAACGAACGGAGCGATAGCAGACGGGGATCTTATCAATGCTCACTATGTGAGTGATTTCGGAGCCCATTCAAGAACTGGAGACCAGAAAGTATACGCAAAACGGGCAAGCCTATCCGAGAGTACTCAAAGCCCATCGAGTCTGCAGAGAGCCATACTTTACGAGAACTTCAGAGGTGGTCTTTTTGTCTTGTGTCGGTATGGACACAGTTGAACATTGTCGAGGGAGATAACCTACACTGATACTGAGAACCTTGCAAAAAAGTACTCAGATTGAGCAGACGCCCGGATGGTCTCTGAGCATTCTCGAGGCCCATTTTCAGTCGTGTTGATATACGTGCAATATACAATCATGCAATGTATTTCTGCATCTCCATCGAACCCACCAGACAAAAACACAAACATTCAGATCAGAGTATCAGCACGAACGCGTGTATTCATAACGTGTCCCAACACAATTATGCATCTGCGCAAGAACGACAGGACGACGTATCTCTGCAGATGTCCCCATTCCACAGCAAAACGACGCGTCTCCATCTACATACGCCGGAGACGCGTCACAATACAATGTCGTGTTGTCGGAACACAGCACAGCAGAGCACCGCACATCACAGCTGAATGCCGTATTCCATAATAGAGCAACGCTCTCCGTGGTAGAGCAACGCGTCTCCATCGACATGCAATGACGACAAAAACCGCAACTTGCAAATCAGCATTGCAAACAAACTTGTATAGCATTAACACCACAACAAGACGACGCATCTCAATCAGAACGATAGAAGATTTTCCACGGCAAAACTGCATGTCCCACAGCAGAACGACACATCTCTGTGACACACACATGTAATCAGGTTTCCAAATCAGTCATAACACAAACTCAACCAACTCAACTTCAACAATCAACGACGATTCAGCGTCGCACGCACTCAGTGAACCTGCGTGTCATCACCACCGATAGGCAAGCTCCTTTGTGCCCTACTTCTTAGTTCGATATGGGCACAATAACGTAATTAATTATGTAATTACGCACCTGCAGCCCAAAGCGTTGCAGGAAGACGCGTGGCAAGGTGGAGCTCGACCAGGTCCAGTGGTTGAGCGAAGATGTGTGTGATACCGCCTGCAGCAAACGGCCGCCACTATCCCCCGCACCTCCGTCACCGTCATCTCTTCTGCCTCCACGGTAAAGTGGCTTCCAGTCAGACCACCAGCCTCGGCTGCCGGCTGTTGTCTCCGACAGCTCGGGACACGGTAAAGTGGCTTCCAGCCAGACCACCAGCCTCGGCTGCCGGCTGTTGTCTCCGACAGCTCGGGACACGGTAAAGTGGCTTCCAGCCAGACCACCAGCCTCGGCTGCCGGCTGTTGTCTCCGACAGCTCGGGACACGGTAAAGTGACTTCCAGCCAGACCACTAGCCTCGGCTGCCGGCTGTTGTCTCCGACAGCTCGGAACAGGTCAGGTCACAGCACCGATGTGTCCACAGCAACCGCATCTAAGGAAAAGTCCAACAGCAAGCTGTTCAAAGCAGGATGTGAGTAATCTTTGACCTCAGCTCCAGCTTAGACATCAGCAGCTACAAAAGATCATATCGTTATGTTGGGCGGGCTCGATTTAGTCTCTAGTAGGCCAAAGGCGTTTAACCAAAATAGGGTATATTAATCACAGGAGCATATAAGCATGAAGTAATCCAAATTTCCTACATCGCTAGACCATGTTCGGTAAGAATACACGACGGCTGTAATCCCCATGGGAGGTAGCAGTCGTCGGTAACAGCAATGGCCACTAAACATGTGTCAACATCGTGAATAGTAATGTGGACAAGGACTCGCTGACGTCGTGTATATCAACGACAACGGAGGGTAGAAGAACCGGAGTCAGAGTCAAAGGGAACGGAGGGAGAGGAACCAGCTACGTCGTGAATATCAAAGAGAGCTGAGGGTAGAAGGACCGGAGTGGCAGTCAAAGGAAGCGGAGGGAAAGGAGCCAGCTACGTCGTGAATATCAACGAGAGCTGACTACCTTCCTCGGCGCCGCCCGGACCACCACTGACCCACCGCCGACCCCGACCCCAGGCGTGACCTACTCCCCGGCCTGTGGTTGGGCGGGTCACGTGACCACGTAGCTTCGAGAACAGACGCAAAAATAAAAAGTCTCCTTACAAAAGAAAGGCCGCCGCTGTTGATATTCGAATCCAGTACGAAATGCGTACACGCTCACAACGCAGGCGCGCTTAACTACTGTGCCACCTGGACGATGATCACTTTGGCAGGACAGAGGGCAACTAATGACGTACACAACAATATTCACGATTGTATGCTTGCCGGGGGAGAGGGAGGGGGGGGGGGGGGGGATCGTGGGACGGCCGTGCGAGAAGGACAAGGTGGTAGCCAGGGGTAAGGTAGTAGCCAGGGGCAAGGCGTATATTACAATATGTGGTGTATAGTTCACCACCGCCACCACGGGCGGGGGAGGGGACGGCATGCAATCGATGCCAGGAGGACCTCTGCTCCCTCATGGCAGGCAAATTAGTTCCATGTACTAATCCGTAGGGACCAGACGAGCCACGATTCACAAGCCATTGACCCGTTGAGAGAGATTCATAAGCCATTGAGAGAGCCAGCTGGAAGAGCAAGCAAGGAATGCATGACGAATATCACTGCTGCGACAAAAACAAACATCTGCCTCATTTTGAAGCTGGGCAAGTCACTAATCCGCGTGAGCACAGTACAAAATGGCTGCAAAGCTTTGCACGATGCTGTCGTTGAGTGCTAGTTATGGTGTTCACATGCATAATGCATCAAATGTTATAGCATTAGCAGATTTAAGTGATAGCTAATCAGGGGCGGATCCAGGATTTCGCCGAAGGAGAACCGCGTTTCACTGCTGTGTTCCCAAAAACTTGGTGCTTTCCCCCGACCTCACAAAAGTTCCTTGGATTCCGACCACTTCATTGTCAGATTCTTGTCTCTTAATCAGGAAACTTCCTCCGCGCCTCGTGTAGCACTAGACATGGTTGGTAGATAGGTATATGACACGCGTCTATTGCTTTCTAGACACTGATGGGTCCTACCATTCTGGGTTAAGTACATTGGAGACGATTAACAAAACGAGATAAATTTGGCTAATACATACTAACGAAAACAGGTACGATAACACAACCCGAATGACTAGCCATCGCTCACTTACTTATGATGAAACTAGAACAGTGGCATTTTTAAAGTTTGTTTGCGTTTAAACGAATCGTGAAATGCGTAAGCAGTAACTTCTACATGAATTCGAAGTCGTAATGACTTCAGTGCCATCGCATAACGCGAAAACTAAAGTGCTCGGGGTTGTAGCCAAAAACGGCGAAGCCAATATAATTTTTCCGCAATGCACTTCCTGGTGGTAACGCATAAGGAAACTACCTGGAATGTGCGACATATCTTATGCTGATAACAGGGAAATCCAACCAATTTTTGCTGTGCCTTTCGATAGTTATGGAGTGCAAAAAATACAAAAATTCGAACTCAGAAATGCGTCTCTAGCGATGCATTAAAAAGATGGGCTGTATAAGGTTAACAACAAATGGATGCTAGATGCTCTGCATTGTCGGCATGTAAAATTATCGCGCATTCTGGCGTAAAATACGAAGAATTACGCAGTAGCTGGTACCGGTGGCGAAACTTTCATGAAATATTGCTGTCTCGTGTATTTCGAACTTTGGCAGTCGTATTTGTTTGGTCACGGTAGTACCAATCCCAAAGATGAAGGGCAGGGCGCAGGTTTGTTGTGGCGAAAACCTACCTTTATTGTTACACCCCCAAAGGGATTTAAAACGTACAATGTTTCGCGTATCTTAAAAGTGTAACTTCAGTTCCTCGACATCAACTGAGTATATGAGTGGGTTACTTGTTCAGATTTTCATCCAAAGACCGTTGAAGTGTAAAACACAGCCCTAATTTCGATGACTAGTTTTTTCGTTACGCTGAAGCGGAATGACTTACTTGCATTTTGTGTTTTGTGTACGCGGACAAATTCAACTGCTATTGTCACTGCCTTACACAGGTGTCTGCTTACTGGCGACGGACCTCGCTTTAGGTATTATCCAATGTAATGTGCTCACTGAGCTTCAGCCTCAGCGTGAACAAAAAACAAACACTGAGCTTTGCGACCGGATTTGGGACTGGAGTGCGATGTTGAAAACACATCTCGCCAGCTCTAAAAGCGCTTTGCTGGGCAGGGATGGAAGAGACGGTGCGTCGCCACGACTGGGCGCAGGTGCAGAGAACACATTTTTTTGCAGCCAGCGTCCCCCAGCCAAATCGAACATGTGCTCGTTGCGCCATGTGTCGTCACGCGCCACTCGTGCCGCGGCGGCCATGTGTCGTCACGCGCCACTCGTGCCGCGGCGGCCGAGATGCTGCGGCTCCGATGTTGTCGGCTGGCCAGAACTCAGCGGGAGTTTGCATAAACAGCCGCATCATCCTGCAACGCCAGGTCTACAGAGCCGACCACCGGGGACAGCAACGCGTGATGTTGCTGCGCTGCATTTGGGTTGGTTTTGTTGGTGTGTGTGTTCATGGGGAGCTTTTTGGGTGGCAACTGTGTTTTGCTTTTGCTGTTTTATTTTGTGGTGCTCTGTCTTGTGTTCTCCAGCGTGTGTTAGCACTTCAAGTGAATTCGTGATAATCACCGCGTGATAGAATTCTGCCGAATGACTATGTTAATGATCGATTTTCAAATTTTTGTAAAAAAAACTTTGTGCGGTGCAAAGTTACTATCCATAAAATGTGGGTCTAGGCGACCCCCCCCCCCCCCCTTCCTCCTTCCCATGGGATGTGCTGACCAGGACTGATCTCCGGAAATTTGTTAAGGACACGCACACTGTGTCCAGAGGCATAGCCAGTCACAGTAAGAGAGGGGCACCGCGGTAAACAAAGGGCATGCTGGTGGAAAGGCAGCAAGGAGTCCGTTCCCAAAATCCCCTGAAATGGTCCGCTGGGTTAAGTCCACTTTACTTTGAGAAATCAATATCCATCTTAAACCTTTTTATCCTGTACTATTTTGACTGGAGAATTTCCGGTTTTTCCGGGTGTTTTACAAAGATATTGAGGACATCGTGGATTTGCATTGGCATGTCAAGCTCTCGCTCTCCTAGGGAAATTCATCCTTTCTGTAGAATCCATCGACAAAAATGACATATAAACATTCAAGCATATACGCTGGCAGCCTGGGGAGAACGAGCACCGACGCCCGGCGTTGCAGTCTTCGTTGGCTACGCAGCGTCGGCCTCGCAGCTAACGCCTGGCGGCGGTCAACGCGCGAGCAAAACCAGCCGCGCACCGGAAAGTGATGGTTTCAAACGCTTTACGACAGCAACTCGTGTGCGTGTTTTGTATCCAGGACATAGGATTTCACTAATGCGACTTTTAGGCCCATGCTCATGACGGATTAGCCCGTACAGCACCACAAACGTATGACGCAGTGGCGTAATCTTTGTTATCCGTGGTGCTGGGACTACTAATCTGGTTCAGAGCATCCGCCTGGAAAAACACGGTCAAAATTTTCTGGCCAGATCCTTAATGACTCGTCCTGCCCAACCCGGGGTCCCCAGCAGCTGCTATTCTAGCGATACGGAGACCGCACCCCCTGGTCGATGCAGAGGCCCTCAGAGGGATACATCACACACTGCGCGGGCCCCCTCGCTGGTGCGACAAGTCCTCCGACCGGGGTACCTGACACTGGATCGACTCAGCGGCCCTCACTTAGGATCCCTATGAGGACCTCTTACTGGCGTAGGAAGTCTAATAATTAGCACTGTGACACCAATTTGGCTTGTGGGCCCCTGATTGAAATAGTGCGGAGGGGCCCTCACTCGTTACTGTGACCTCTGGCTGGCACAGAACACTTCCACTATCTCAATGTGAAAGCGAAACCTAACAGAATCATTCTCCATTTTTCTTTATTGTCAAACGGTCTCGAACCAGCGCCTGAGGCCTTTATAATTTTTGGAAGTTGCTGTCCTGTTCAGGAAATGATCCCTGTCCTAGTCGGCTTTAGACCCGTTGTCGACGCAGGGTTCCCCTGTTGGGCGCTGTGGTCCCCTGACCAGCGCAGGTGGCCCTTCACCGTTTCAGAGGACCAACCGATGCAAGAGGCCTTCTGATTGACCTTTGCAGGCCCGCCCTTGCCCCTTCTTGGGAAAAGCCTCCTAGGACCTAGACCAACACGGAATCTTGTTGCTGTTCATTGGTGTTTTCAGGCGCGTCGACCAACACGGAATCGACCGTTCAGTTTTGGTGGTCAGTCAGCTGATATAGGACCCTCAGTCTCGGGTATGCGCGACCTGTGCAATAGGCCCTCTTACTGATATTTTAGGGTAAGGGTTGGGCTGCCTTGGATATGACCTCCGGCCTGTTCATCCGACGCTCCAATCGGGTGCTTCGTCGTGGTCCCAGTGAGCGTTGGTATATGGCTTCTCCTGAAAAATAAAGTCTTTGGGCCATTTGTGGTGCCCTAAAAATTGTCGTCGCTTAAAAATTAAGGTCTTGCTGCCTTTTGTGGTGCCACCTGGAATTATGTGCCTCCTTGCAAGTCAAGATTATAACGCCCCAGAAGAAAACTTTTTGGTACCCTGCGCCGAGGGGGGCTGATCTAGGATTTCGTCACGATGGAGGGAAAATAAATTGTGGTGCCCCTCTATTTGGTGCCACCTGAAATCAAGACTTCGCGGCCCTTTAGTGGCCCACTTAAATTTGCTGCCTTTAGAGAACAAACTTTATGGTAGCCCAAAGTCAACGTTTTTGTGTTTTTTCACCGAATGACTGGCCGAGGATTTAGTCAATGGAAAAACACGGGTATAATGGTGTATCTTGGAATTTGCTGCCTCTTGAAAATGAAGCTCTTGAGGCCCGTTTTTGTGCTAACTGTAATTACGTGACTCTGGGTAAGCAAGATAATGATGCCCCGAAACGAAAATTTTGAGGTTCCTCCACCAACCGGACAAATCCAGCATTTTTCATGATAAACGGTAAAGCAACTGTGGTGCCACTGGATTTAAGTCTCATTGAAAAAAGGGCATTGGGTCCTTTAAATGGCCCGCTTTGATTTAGTGTCTCATGAAAGTAAGGGTTGCGGTGCCCAAAATGTCTCATTCAGAAATCAGACGGAAATAAAGCTTTGGTGCCTCCTAAACATCTCCCAAGCGGCTGATCCGAGCATTCGTCACGGTGGGATACGGAACATTGTTGCGCCCATGGAATCTGATATCTTTTGGTAATGAAGCTTTGGGGCTCTTGTGGTGCCACCTGGAAAGAAGTGCCCTCGAAAAATAGATATCACAGTGCCCTAAAGTGAAGGTTTTGGTACCCGGTCAACCTGTGATTTTGGTGCTCCCTCGAGGCGGCAAAACCTCGTTGGGCCCCAAGCGCCAGCGCATCCCCATGCCCCCTCCCATGCAGATGATTATATCAGTGCCCTTGTCGCAGGGTATTTGATGACGCAAAATGAACATTTATACGGGTAGAGAACAAACTGGAACTGACTGAGAAAACAAGAAAATACCAGTGTCCTAGAATTGCCGACTTTAGGTGTAAAGCTGCACTCTACGGGGAGGAATTTTTCGCTCCTCTCCCCATATTTTTTGTGAACTTCACTCTTATCTGATGTTGTCTCACCGCGCATATCAAGCCCATATCTCCCCTTCCGGCGTTTAAAGATTCATCCAAAACCGAGCTCACTTAAAACCATCAAGGATAAACAATGCTCCACAGAATCTGGACACCTATGTCCATATCCTGCCTCAACATCTGAAACATGAGTATGTCTGCAAAGGGCAGGGACATCAGGTACGCTCAAGCCCGAGAGCCTTAGCGATAAGTCACTTGCATGCATCAAGTTTGGCTTGCCAACCCCACTTGGGTCATGGTCGGTGTATCTCTGGACATCCCCTCCTCCAGGTTTGACACGCCTTGCAAATTGGTTTAACCATATCAGTTGACCTCCATCCGATTTTGGAGCGACACTCCGGCCATCAGCCAGCCAGCCCAATGCGTTACATTTGTAAAACATTATTAAACCCCACAGCATAGCTGAAGTACGGGAAATGTTGACTTACCACCAAATGCCTTCGATACCTCTACCTCCCCAAACCGGTGGCCGCAAGCAGTACGCGTTGCCGGAAATGCAGAGTGTTCGAGAATGTTCAAGTGGGACAGAAAAGGTAATCACCAAAGCTCAATTCACACAGCTTTTGTGGAAAGGAATTGCTGCAATGTGTTGCATTTAACTTTAATGACATGGTCTAACGACTGCAAAACGAATGAAAATGGTTTTGTTCTTATCATCAATAAAAATCCAGCCAGCCAGGGTTCAGCCCGCGCGGACGTTGTGCTGGTGTGCGGAGCGTGTCTATGTGTGGTAGATGAAGCTGCCTGCACGCGCACTAGACTTGTGTGCCAATTGTAACGTGTTTGCGCTGTCTGATGGTCTGTATGTGAGTGCTTTGGAGTGCCGTGAGAGCTCAGCATGCATGGTGTGTGGATTTGCCAGCAGCGTGCGTGTAGAATCTCATGAGCTGTAGCTTGCGTCTGTAGGCGAGTGGGGGAATGTTAGCGTCTGCCGACAGGCTGGTGATGGGGAAGCAGCGGAGGCGTCCGTGAAGACTCGCATCGCGCCGTTCTGGAGGGCCTCGAGCGACTCGATTTTTGCAAGAAATACCATCGAAGATAAAGGCAGTTAGTCCAAGATCGGCCGGAGCAGGCCGACGTACTGGCGTAAAAGCGTGCACCTGTCGGTGTCCCTCTCCCACCCAGCAAGACATGGTCGGATATCGTTAAGTTGTGCGCAGCGCTGCTCGAAGTCTTAAAAGTGGGAGGCAAAGGTGAGCTGGCAAACGAGTAGGATTTAGTGCAAGTTTCAAAGAAAAAGCCTGATAGAGGCCATTCGAGATCAGTGAACCCTCCTGACCTTCAGAAATTCAGCATGACAAAACTGGTAACGTCTCTGTGATCAAGGAATTGACATTAAGCCTCAAATCGACCCTATAAGCAAGCTTTCTATTACAAAAGTAATTGTAAAGTTGCATGACGTAATGCAAACTGACGTTGTTCAATGAGCTTGAAAAATTCATGACAATCGCCTTTGTTGACAACTATCGTCTGCCTTTAACCTGCTGCTGGTCATCTTGATCACCTTGTGTCACGTTGGTGACCCTGAGAGGCAGTCTTTCTTGTAGGCATTCTTCTCTACACAGAAAGAACAGACAATTGACTAGAGCC